AAGCTGGGTTGGTTGTGGGAGCAGCTAAAGAAGAGCCGAAAAGGACCACAGCAGCAGCGACGCAATTGGTAGATCGCATGTTGAAAGTGAAACCGAAGATAGTAATTGACAAGCTTTATGACGATGGTACTTTTAATAGTCAAGTCTTGTAGCGACGAGGCTCTTTTATAGAAATAATACCATTACCATAGATCTGCAGAAGTTGGCACTCCACTCCATTGTATAAATTTGACGCCCCTGCATTTGGTAATATGCTTAAAATGCTACAGAACAAACATGCCTGCTAACCAAGATTCGTGTCAGCAACCTTCCAAAAAGGGATTCGAGGTCGGAAATTTATTACATGCCAGATTTCTTTATATTTGTCTTGCTTAGCCTCGGCATTTCCATAACAGTTGGCATTTCTTAGCTAAAACTTTCAATTCTCACGTCAGCTGCGGCCCCTATATTACCCTGCTCCGTGGCCAACTACCATATTGAGCCGGCCCACCATATTGGACCCGTCTTGGTCGTAACTCATTTCCTAAGGCCGTGATGCAGCTCTCCTGAAAAAGCAGAAATGGATCAATGTTAGAGCAGCGCTGGAGGACCTGATTCCAGTCCAGTTTGTGAATCCGGCCGAGGTTCTGAGCCTCGTTCTTTACTGCGAGTGCAGCCTCATCATACCCGAGGACAACAAAGTTATTTACGATCAGAGACTACTACGCCAACAGCTGCTGAGGACAAGAAGCCGGAGACTGGACTGGAGACAGTCGCCACTAGCCTAGTTGAGACTTATTCGGGTTTGGACTAGTTCGGTTTCTTAACGAAACTTATAATTTAAATAGAATAAGCTTCCCTCCTATATCTACAGGTACCTTACCTTTTAAGTACCTAACTACTAAAAACTTCTACTTATTTAACTAGCTATTAAATAAAATAACTATAATTTTTTTATTTATAATTTTATTTAAGGACTTTAAAAAAATAGAAATATTTATAAACTTTTTAAATAATTAAAATAAAATAAACTTTATTATCCTTAGACTTATAATAATCTTTTAACTTTAGAAAAAGATAATCTTTGTAAATTTAAAAATAAAAAAAAATATAATTTTTTTTTTATTTTAAAAAAAAATTACTTTAAAAAAACCTTTAATATAAATAAAATAGTTTTACTTAGCTTTAATAAAGTAAAACTAAATATAATAATAATTATAATTATAATATAAATAATTTTAAAAAGTTTTTATAATAATAATTAGAAAAGGTATTAATTAAGCTAATAAACTTATAAAAAGATCCGCTAATACTAGCAGCCTAGGCTAGCATTACCTTTACAATAGCTTATAAGGTTTTTATTAAAATCCTATTATAATTATCTTCCCTTTTATAAGCTAGCTCCTAATAGCTATAGTAAAGGATTATAAAACCTTTTATTTTAGTATATTAGCCCTATAATATAGCTAATATAAACCCCCAAGCTAACCTTTATAAATTTAACGTAAGAGATTTAAAGATGTACCTAGCCTAGCTGGGCTAACTATACTATGCCTTATACTAAATTTAAACCTATAACCTTTAAAAAACCCCTAAGCTATTAGTATAATTATAATAATAATTAAAAAAGGTACTAATTAAGTTAATAAACTTATAAAAAGATTTACTAATACTAATAGCCTAGGCTAGCACTACCCTTTACAATAGCTTATAAGGTTTTTATTAAAATCCTATTATAGTTTTATTACTTTTATTTTTAATAATATAAAAAAAGCTATTAACTTAAATAATAAAAAATCTTTTATTAAAAATAAAATTATAAATTAAATTAATAAAATTAATATATAATAATATATTAAATAAATAATAATATTAAATATAATTATAATTATTAACTTTTAGTATAATATATATTTTAGTTTTTTTAATAATAGTAAAATAAGTTTAAATTTATTTAAATATTATATTTAAAAATTTTATTATTTTTTATATTAACTTTAAAAAAAGTTTAAAAAGTTTAAAAAACTAAATTATAAAAAAAAAACTATTTAATTAATTAAAATAATATTAATTAATATATTTTATAATAAAAAAATAAATTAAATAATTTTAAAAACTTTATTATAATAAAAACTTTTATAATTATTTAAAAAATAAATTAAATAAACTTTAAAATTATATAAATATAAATTATATTAAAAAACTTAATTTATAATAAAAAATTATAAAAAAAACTTAATATTCAAAAAAACTTTATTTTTAATAATAAAAAGTTAGTTATTATTACTAAAATATAAAATAAAAATAAAATTAATAAAACCTAAGAAAATTTATATTTATTTTTAAAAATATAAAAAAAAGACTTAAAATAGTAATATATTTATAATAAAAATAAAGTAAATATAAAATTTAAATTATATTAAGGTTTTTATATAGTTAATACCTTTAATAAAGGGAATTAATTATAAAAATAAAAAAGAAATATTATTAAAAAATACTAAGGTAATACTTTAGAAAAAAGAGTAATATATTAAAATTTATTTAAAAAAGGTATAGTTATATAATACCTATATATTAATTATATTATAAAGATATAAGCTAAAGGTTATAAAGTTTTTAGCTTAGTAATAATATTATAAAAACCTAAACTTTAGGGAAGGAATTAAAGAAAATAAAAATAAATATAGTTACTTTACTACCTTAAGCTTATATATTTACTGTATAGCTACCTATAATTATCCCTTATCCCTTTTTACTCTCTTTTACTAACTTAGCTTCTAATATATATTTAGTTTTAAAAAGTAGCTAGGTATTTTATAAATTAACTAGCTAAGTTTTTAATTAATTATAATTATAGTAAAGCTTATAAAAGTATAATTAATTAATTAATAATTAAAATAAATTTATATTTATAAAGAAATCCCTAAATAAAACATATAAAATAAAAAAACCTTACTTAATTATTCTTTAAAAAGGTTATAAAAATATTAGCTAAGTAAAGTACTTAAATTTAAAAAAATAATAAGTATTTATTTAAATAGCTAAAAAATATAGCCTAGTATATAAAAAATAAAGAATTAATAAAAGCTTATTAAAAGCTAAAGGCTATAAATAATAATAAACTAGCTTTTTTAATTTATAAATTAAAATAATAGCTAAAGCTTATTTAATTTATATATTAAAGTAAAAGCTTAAGCTTATTTAATTTATAAATTAAAAAAAAATTATAAACTATTATAATATATAATTTCTAAAGCTTTATACTTAAGTATAAAGGTTAATATTAAAGTAGCTAGCTTTATTACTTACGCTAGGAAGTACCTATAGAAATATTCTTTTTTAGCTAATTATAAAAGGAAAAAAATTATATATTTATAAAGTTATATATTTATAATAAAAATATTATATATCCTTATTAATTACTAAAAAAAATATTATATTATAATTTAACTTTTATAATTATAATAATAAACTTATAAAATAATTAATTTTAAATAAATATTAAATTATTTAATAATTTAATAATTTATAAATAAATTATTAAAACTTTAAAATAATTTATAATAAAATTATTACTACTTAGTAATAATTTAACTTAATTAATTAAATATATAAATTTATTTTATATTACTTATTAAAATACTTAAATAACTAATTATAATTATAATAATTAAATTAAATATTTAAATACTTTACTTTACAACTAGTAATAAATTTACCTATTTATTAACCTAACTGCTTTGCTAATATAAACTATAGAACTACTTTAAGGTTTATCCCTTAGGAATAGCTAACCTATACTAACCTATAGGACCCAGTTCGTCACAAGTTGTAAATAACATAATCAACCCTAATCCAGTATAATCGACTAATGTATCACATTCGTGACATTATTACTACATTGCCCAATTATCTAGTTTAACCTATCCGCCAACATAAATTTGAGGCTCGTTTGTGCCTTGTGAATTATACCTATATTAATGTACGGGTGCGCGGCTCGTCAGTGGATACCCCTCCCGATATAAAACACGAAGGGATTCACGAAACACAAACGGGTGGAAAGTAATAATTCTCACTATGAACAATTTGTAGTCCTATAGTAAATGCATTTCGGATTGCGATATTTCAGATTTTTATCCGCCTGCCAACCACAAGCATTGCATCTTGGGTAGGTTTTTGGCTTCGCGTGGTTGATAGGACTGATTCTGCGAGGACACAGCTACCATTGAATCATTCGAAGTGCTGTTGCTTAAATCATTGGATGATGCCATAATGCTAGAGATTTAAGGTATAATCGATGTTCTTTTGATGTGGTAGAAGTATTGTTTACCCTATTTAAGTGAACAGGGACCTCTGCTTCCTATATACTCATGCTTAAAGACCATATGAGTTCTTAATGAAACGTATATCTATCCAGGTGTGGTTGTACTTGATACTGGTAATTTCTTTCGACCCGAGATATAAATTAATTCATATCTAATCAAAGCGACGATAGCTGACGATGATGGCTTATCACCCCCTCCTTCGGAGTTGCTGTGCTACAATACGGGTCGTCATAGGCAACGGCTCGGGTGCGCCCCAGGGTAATCAAAATGATTGGTTTATCCTCTTCGTGATATTTTCTTGTTACGACATCACAAATAGGATGGTGATACTGTAATACGTGAGGGCCATTATTGTGCGAAGCCACCTTATTCAGAGCCAAGAAATATCTATGCAAATTAACACTAGGGGCACCTTGACGTCCACTGAAATGTACATAGCAAGATCAATGGAACAGCTGTTTCACAGATAAATATGCAAGTGATATCCTATATTTACGTCCAGTCGCCTACCCAGTTGGTTGGCTGGCGGATTCTATTGCAGTCACGTGTCTTTGTCCTACCATTGCGTTGTCAAAGCACTTTTCGCAAACGATCCTCACCGTCATTTCCTCCACAGCCAACACAATCCTTATTTTCTAAATTCCTCTCATTGTTTTAGCTCTTTGGCACTTTTACTAGTCGAGTTTGTTCGGCAAGATGGAGAGACGAAATGATGACTGGGAGGGTTTTGCAAACCTGAGCCCAGATTCGGATAAGCATAAGCGAATCCAGCTTCTCTTCTCTTCAGGAAATTTTGAACATCTGAAGGCGCGTGCGATAGAGTCACGAAAAAAATATCAACCGAACCTACCCCTAACTGTGAAGTGCGATATCAACTTGAATTGCTTTACATCTGGTTTCAATAACGTGGTTCTGGAACTTGCGTTTTCCGACGAGGTTTACTGGATTGCTCGCATCCCGTATCAAGATTTCAATGACAGCGACAGAATCTCAATGCTCAGTGAGATTGCTACAATGAAGATTATCCAGGAAAAGACTACCATTCCAATACCTCGTGTCTTCGAATTCGAAGCATCCGCGGACCAACCTTTTGGTTACCCGTACATCATGATGGAGTACCTAAGTGGCCGGATCCTCACCGATGGGCTGGCAACCACTACACCCATCCAATATCGTGTCAAAGTGGCCCAACAGCTTGCAAATGTTTTCTCGGAGCTTCAGAAACTGATGTTCAGTCGCATCGGGCGCCTTTGGTGCGGAGAGAACGTTGATCAGCCTGTTAAAATCATGGCAATGGCCTGGCATTCCTCGCCTGGCCCTCTAGAAACTTCATTAGAATATTTCTACAATCAGAGACAGAGCGAAAACCGGGAAATTCTTTCCATGCATCCACATGACCCAGATTGGCTTACAGCTTGTTGGGTATTGAAAACAGCTCTAACACATATCATCATCGAGGATAGAGTCAGAGGTCCCTTTCCTCTCTGCCATCTTGATTTGCATTTTGGCAACATGCTTTTTGACAATGAGTACAACCTGGTTGGGATCATCGACTGGAGTCATGCGCAAGCAGGTCCTCTCGAGCAGCTGTCAGTCTGCCCGGAATTGGTCATCTTCCCGGGGCTATCAGATGAGGAAAACAAGCCAATTGTTGAGTTCAAGAAGCTCGTCATAGAGTCGATAAGAGAAATGGAAAGAAATCAAGAAAAGAGTCCCCTTTTGGATTGTCCAGAGGTGGACTTACTGTTGAGCTCCAATCTTACACCCCTTTCTGCCTACATGGCTTCTAGGAGTGCAGAGATCATCCATCGTCAGTACATGGCTTCACCACAGGGGAGTCTTTGGGCTGGTCAGATGGTTGCAAAGCTTATCTATGGACAGAATGTCACTTGGGAACAGCTGAGAGAAGTATTCGGTGCAATGCCCCCTTTCTAGACGATTTTCGACATCTGTGTATCTATTCGATGGCTCAGTCTAGCTGCATTGCCTTTTCCCGAATATTTTCGCTTATACGGAATCTTACCTACCTAATTATAAATCCTTCCTCCTGGGTGCATGTCAATTTAGCCAGCGAACACTAGCTTTTGTATCATCCTCCACTCCCTTTACTCCCAATTCAATTTTTGTTTTTCACTCCTTTAGTAGTAAGCGCTCTGTACATATGATAAATATTTTGCAACCTCAAGCACATATGACCACAGGTAGTGGGAAGTTCGGGGTCCCCTCAAACTATTGTCTTGGATTAGTTATCTGCCATTTTCACTCCAGGCCTCCGAAGTCGGAGCCACACCCTTCCAAATTTTGGAGCTTAATGAGCTCTGTGATAAGATATCTACCCCTGGACCATTAACATATCTGATCCAACTAAATGACATCGTGAAAAAGGGATGTGGACTGCCTTCAGAACCGGGAACCGAGTATTGATCTGATCCTGGCCAGTTTTCGGCAAGCTGGAGCCATCAAAGCTCAAATTATCTCATAAGATCTCGGATACATGACGGGAATCTCTCCCCCTGAATGAAATATAATGATCATGAACCTCGAAATTAAGCACATACGACCATAGGTTGCATTTAATGCCGGTGAGATGAGCCTAGTCTCTTTTCGGCCAAGCCCATGCATGGTAATTCGTGCTGCCAACCTTCGAGACTCCTTGGCTAGGCGCGCTCAGTAACCCCTCCCCTTCTAAAGAAAAATAAAGAGGAAAGAGAAGGAATAGAATGGAAAAAAAAAAAAATTCACTCACCTCTCTTTACTATGTTTTCTTCTTGTTGCAACCTTGGTTAGTTTCCAATGCAAACATAGGCTCATACTTTATGTGACGTCCCGACCTAATACTTAAATAGTATAGGGTAAGTTCCTAAGGTAATAAGCTAAAGTTAATTAGTTTATATTAGCAAAGAGAATAAGAAGTAGCTTTAAGTAAGTGTAATTATAAAATAAGTAAAATATAATAAAAATTTAATTTATATTTAATCTTAATACTTTATTAATAACTATTTATTTAAGTTATTTAAAAAGCGTAAAAAATTAAATTTTATATATTTAGTTATTTCTTAGGGAATAATATAATATATTATTCCTATATATATTTAAAATATTAATTAATTATTATTTTTATATAAAAATAATATAACTTAGTTATTCTTTTTTTAAAAAAAATAATACTACATAGTTATTCCTTTTTTTAATTAACTAAAATAGTTTAATAAATATTTTAGGATATTTATTTATAATATTATAAAAAGTTAAGTTATAATATAATACCCCCCTCCTATTAATTTTACTTTTAAAATCTAAAATAAAGCCTAGTTACTTAATTTAGGCAGTAGTATATAATATAGGTAAATAACTTCCCTTTTTTATAATTATAATATTATATTTAATTTTATACTTATTTATAAAAAATATAAAACTATTTCTTTTACTAAATAGGTATTTACTTTAGGTTTATTTACTAATATACTTTATACTTAATACTATTATACTAAGTTACTATATATTATATTAAAAGTATTTTTTTATTATAGTAATTATATAAAAGTATAAAAATTATATAATAGTATTTTAATAATAAGTTTTTATAAATATTCCTTAGTTTTATTAATAAGTATATTTTAATAACTTTTAATAAAAAAAATATTAGCTTAATATTAAGTATTAAAGTATTAAAAAAAAAAGATTAATAAATAGGTTAAGTTTCTTAATACTTAAATACTTAAACTTTAGACTTAGCTAGCTAAGGCTTTAAGTTATTTATTATATATTTAAAAAATATATAAAAAGGCTAAAAAATAAAGTAAAGAGTTATTTTATTAAGGTATAAAAGAAAAGGATATTAAGGTAGCTGCTAAGTAATTTATAATATATAATCTATAATAGTTAAAGGTTTTTAATAATATTAATTAATTTTCCTTAAGTATTAATTTAAAGTTTATAGATTTAAGTCCTTTTATACTAGCGGAAGAAACTTATATACCTTTTTCTTCTTAAGTAGTTTTATTTATTAAGTAGCTAGCGTTAGGAGTTTTAAGTATAATCTTAAGTTTTTTTTAAAAATCTTAGATTAGGTTTATTAAATTAAAGCTTTTAATAAGTTCTTAAGTATTATAAATTAAGTTATACTCTTTTTATTTAATTTAGTATTTAACTTTATTATTTTCTTCTAGGTTTTTTTATACTACTAAAACTTTTTTAATTTTCTATTTTTTTTTATTTTTAATAATAATAATTTTATTTAAAATTAATTTTTCTATTACTTTATTAATTTATACTTTCTTTAAAAGTAATATATAAAATATAGCGTATTTTAGTTATATACCTTTTAGTATTTTTAATTTATAATTAATATTACTAATTTTCTTTAAAATCTTAAATAGGCTAATTTTCCTAAAATTAAACTTATTATTTAGTTAATTTATTTTAATATTTAGTATTTTATAACCTTATATATATTAAAGTAAGTAAACTATATCCCCTTTTTAAAAGGTTAGTCTTTTAATCTTATTTTTATTTATATAATATTTTATATATTTTTAAATAAATTTTAGTTATATTTTTAATTCTTTATATAAGTTAATTATTAATTTTACTTAAAGTTATATTTTATTAATATTAAATTTTTTCTAAAGTAGCCTATATACTAAAAGAGTATATTTATATAAAGTATAAAATAATATTAACTTAGTAAATTTAAATTTTATACTATTATAATATAATTATATAAAAGGTAGTTTATTAACTTAATTATTTTATTATAAATTAATAAAATATCTTAGGTATTACTTAATAATTTAATTTATTTATTTTATTTAATTATTTATTTTA